CATGGTCGAGACAATTTAACCGGCATCCGTACTCCAGTTCTAGCTCTAAGAATATATAAGCTTTCATATGATTTGTTAAAAGGAATGGAAGAGTTAATACAAGTATAAAAGGAACAGTTTTTACATGTAATATAACCTAAAATTTCATTCCACTCCACTATACCCTTCATAATGATATAGGGGAGTCTTACGCAGGCTCGAGCGAAGTGAGTAACATTTTGATGAAAGGTGATATGAGAAGAATTCTCAGATTGATTTACGGAACCCTTCCAGGCATGGCAAATTCCATCTGATGAAATGCTTACTGAACCATTCTCTACCTTTCGGTGCCACCGCAAATTTGCATTTTCTCCTTTCGCTCGAGCGGAGCCAGAAGGACTCCAGTTAATGACTCTTCCACAGGAAGTATTAAGCAAAACCTGAGACTGTTCAGCTCGACACTGAGTCCACTGAACCCAATGTTCAAGCGTCTGAACCTTCGGAGTGGCACACCACGGTAAATCAGGTGGAGAGGTGTCATCTACAGGTTCTGTAACATTGTTAAATCTTTCCATACTTAACAAAAACAAGTGACCTAACCAACACCTTAATTTTTCTGCCTCTTCCCTACATTATTTCCCTTCAGAGATTTTATTCCCTTAATCTTAAAGGGATGTTGAGGGAGGAAGGTCTCTCTCTGTAACTTCTTCAAAGCTGAGATAGGGCTGTAGTCCCTGCCTACTGGGAATAAAAATCTCTGAAAGCCTATTCTAAGGGCCCCAGAGGCAGACAGCGTGAGGTCATTCCAGCATGTAGAAGTGGTAGGAAGCCTTGCAACCTAGAAGATATAAACTTAGCAAAAAGATAGAAAAGACAAGTCAAAATTAATAGTAGAGGTAATTGACAATGAAGTTACTTTCTCATGGCAGTTTGTTAATTTAAGGTACACAAAAGTTCCTGATTTCCTGAGACATGTGGACTTATCTAGTTTCCAGAACAAGAGCTTAAGATCTTCCATGGGTTCACAGGAACAGGTTGTACTTTCTGAAGGAACCTGTGAGGATTTATAAGAAACTCGGTTAATTTAAGATAAATGTACCTAATTGCTGATTCCTTGTAATTTGACAGTAGTTGAGAACTTAACAAAACTTGGTAGGGCCCTTTCTGTTTGCCTTGAGGGCTGACTTTTTATTCCTGTCACCATGTAGTTAGCATTGGAGAGAGGCCTATGGGATGGGTCAGGACAGAGTAGGTAGCTCTAGTATCTAGTAAAAATTTAGTTTTTCCTTCTTGCCATGTCTTTTTTGAACTGGAGCTTGGAAGTGCTTGAGCCTCCACTGTTGGAGGAGACAGCTCGTAAAAACCCACCTCTGGAGGGTTTTTATGAGCCACCTGTTGGGCTTCCTCTCTCCACCATGTTTTCATTTGCAAATAAGGACATGGCTCTGACACAGTTTTTATAATAGCCTCCCAATCTAACACTAACAATTGTTGTTCTGTGGCTATACTATTTAAAAAACCTGTCACATAAGTGGACTACATACCATAGATTCTTTAAGTATTCTCAAGAATTTATGTTCCAATGGAGTATAGTGCACATTGATACCCCCCTGAGGAAATTGAGCATCGGGGGGAAATGCCTATCTCACTACAGGGAACCCCATCAGCTGAGGAGTAGCTGTCTAGGAAAATTTTCTCAATTACTTTCTTCATCTATTATTTCTCTAGTCAAATCATGTGATAACTGAAGAGGTAGAGGGAAAGTAAATGAAACAGGACCAGTGACTGAAGGCTCAGCCCCAAACAGAGTATGTGCAGGTGGTGCAGAGGGCTTTCTAGGTTCTCGAGAATATCCTCCAGTTGGCCCCAATTGCAGTTGCTTTAACCTTTGATCTATTGCCTTTACTTGGGTCAAAAGAACCTGATATGACCCTTCAGTAGGAGGAATGTGGTCTACACATTCCTCTTCAGATGAGGACTCAGTAGATTCCTCTTGCTCATTTTCAGACACTATTTCTATAGGATTTTGATAAACATGTTCTTTTGATCCAAGCTGAGAAAATGGAGGCATGGGCTGTTGGGCAACAGACACATCAGACTCATCTCCTCAATTGGCCATTCCTTCTTGTTGTATTGCCAAGTCAGTTGCAGCACCCTCAGAGTCAGATTGCAGAAGCTGTAAAGCCTGAGAAATTAAAGTGCATAAAGACCAAACAGAAACAGGGATGGGATCCCCTTGTCGATGAGCTCTCCGCAAAGCTCTCATAACTTGTTTTCACTTTAGCATTTAATTGGGATTTTCCCTCTGGCTTGAACTAGTAGTAATGTCTACCTACATGCAAAAACAATTCACGAAATTGACTTTTCTTCACTTTTACTCCTGAAGACGACAGTAAGTGTCACAATAACTTAATATACTGGGCCTCCACATTTGACAGAGAATTCCCCATGATAAAACTATGCTGAAAGTATCACTTACCCGTGAGCGGACTTACCCCTTTGGTTTCCAGTGTAATCTGGAAATGTAATAAAATTATGCCGAAGTTATCGCTTACCCGTGAGCGGACTTACTCCTTCCGTTACTAGCGTAGTTCTGCACCCTCTTCTTCGAGCCCCACGTTGGGCGCCACTTGTTGCGGAGAAGGTTTGGAAGAAGAGTCAGAGACTGGAAATGTGTTATTTACATGGATAAGGGACAGGAGGAATGGCAATGCTAGCATCCCCCACCCCTGTCTCCATGGCTTTTTATTGTTTCCCTATAATGCTGGCTTTGTAATTTATTAATAGTTACTATCAGGTTAGTAAATACAAGCTACAGCCAACTCCCAGATTCAGCCTCAAAGCCACCACCGTGTTCTCAGCTATTTTTTCTCAAGTATCTTTTTCTTATCCTCTAAAGTATCCTTTTCTAGTCCCTAGAGTAAGAAGTCTCGGAATCGGTCGGGCGTGTGCGCCCTCCCTGCAATGTGTCCTTGTGTGCAAGTCCATATCTGCTCCTGATGTCTTTGTTGCTCCAAGTACCAGACATTCTGCTAGGAAAATTCTGAACCACAGGTGTTTCTTACAACAGCATGTAGAGATAAACGAGAAGGCCTAATAGCACACTGATCTGGTGCTGCTAAAATACTGCAGTGTGATTCACTTTGACAGTTGTGGTTCACAGCTTTTCTCTGTAGCATTTCATCTCAAATTAAATTGATCTATAGTTTTAATTCTGATTTGCCTGACATCAAAGAGCCCATGACAGAACTTTCAGAAAGACAGCTTTCTTATGTAACAAGTAATCTAACATTTTAGTGTAGAATGTCATCAATCTTGATATGCACACCAAACTTTGGACAGATTTCCACCCTGTTTCAATGAATGGCCAGAAGTGCAAATTAAAAACAATAAATGTTACAGGCATGAATACATAAAGTTTCTAGTTTACCAATCAAAAATAATGTTCTCATTGTGTATCTTTCATCTAAGTTATTTCACTGAGTGCTCCTAGCTCAGAAGAGATTTATCTTAATTTCCTAAAATTTCTTTGATTTCTTAATTTTACCATGTTCAAACTTCTATTTTCACTTGATGTAATTGTAGGAGCAAGCCATGGGATGTATTTGGGTACAAATAGGACAGAAATATAACTCTATGGTGTATATTCATGAAAGGTGGGCAGGTTTTAGAGGTCAGAGTCTGGAATTGCACTGCTAAGATATTTTGATTATAGCCTCATAAATGGCATGGGACAGAGTATGGAGAGAATAACCTAGGGGTACATTATGTGTATATATCCACTGAATTGTATGTTCTTTGATCCAATCACAGAAGACAATTGTTATAAATGCTTTTGACCTTGAGAGCCCAATAGTGCATTGCTTGTTTATGATCTGAACTACATGAAAGGTTAAATAAATCTGCGTTGGAAGAAAAAATATAATTTTTTAACTTATTTTTTTATTAAGTTTATCGGGGTAACATTGGTTAATACAATTATATAATTTTCAGGTGTACATTATAATTTGACATCTATATATTCTATTGTATGATTACCAAAGTCCAATTTTTTCAGCTACCATATATTTGATCCCCTTTACCCACTTCACCCTCTCCCTACCCCCTATATTTGACTCCTTTTACCCCGTCTACCTCTCCCCTCCTTCCCCACTCCCTACCCTCTGGTAACTACTAGTCCATTGTCATATCCCTGTTCATTTGTTGCTTTTAGGTTTATATCCCACATATAAGTGATATCATGTGATTTTTCTACTGAAAAAAGATAATTCATTCAGGGTTATGAATGATTAAATTTTATTTATTAAAACATGAGCCCTAAGATATATTTCTTATCTATCTATATAAGAAACTAGAAAAGGGAATACTAGCACTTCAAGGTAAATCACACACCTACTCGCACTATTCTAGTACTTTATATTAAGCTCCCCTTTTCACATAACTGCTTTTCCAATTTTTTAAAACATGACAACTTTTCCATTAATCTTTCACATACAAAAGTTATTGTCATTCAGTGAAGGAAGTCACCACATCATTTCTTCTGCATTATTTCTACCGCTACTCACCCCTGTTCGCCTATCACTCTCCTCCATGACAAGCCCAAGTCCTTCATGTCTAGACCTGCTCTGTTTCATGGTCAGTGGTTGAGACTTCTTTCCTATAACTGACCATGGCCTGTACAGAGATGGGCACCTGAGCCTAGTAAGTACAGACTCCATGTAGTTTTCCATTATTCTCTAACTTCCCTGATGCTAATTCATACAAAAATAAATTTGATACTCAGTGTCCTCGTTTTACTAAAGGACATGAATATGAATGAACCGTGCCCAGTGAAGTAGGCTGTTTCATCGCATGGATTACTTCCCAGAGAGCAGCGCTAAAGGCCTGGAAGGCAGGCATGTGTTCAATGGACTTTGGACTTCGGGTTAAAACTCAGTCATGTACTCTTTTCAAGAAAATGTAACTAAATATAAACAGTAAAGATAAAGGGCTATTTGTACATGTCTTTGTTCCTGTGATATATGACATGTCCAGAATTTTAATATAGTTGCATTTATAATTTTTCTGTAGTATGTAATGTCTCAGGCAAATCTCAAAGAACTTAGTTATTCCTAATATGAATTCTTGACATGTGCTTGATTGTGAGAGCTGGTTAAAAAATTGACTACATTCATTACATGTGCATGAATTCTTGGGTTAATCCTAAGGACACACTGTTGCTTAGTGTTTCCATGTTTAGTATATTAGAATAGTTTATTTCTTCCATTAATATTGTCATTACTCCAAAGGTGTAGACATTTGATGAAAAGCCTTATGACATTCACTACATTTGTAAGGTTACTTGCCAAAATATGTCTTCTGATTTTATCTTTGAGTAAAAAAATTAACATGCATGTAACTTATGTGTTGTTTCTCAAAATGTAAAATCTGCTTTCTAGTGAATTGGGAGGCCTAGATAAAAGTTCTGACATATATTTCTACAATTTCTCTTCCTTGTGGAGTTTCTGTTCTTGCATAATACTTGAACTCTAATGGCTTTGCCACACTCATTGCAATTGTAAGGAATAGCTCCAATGTTTCCCACTGTTGATCTTTGGATAAACACTTTGTCACACATTAATTTGGTGGTTTCTCTCCAGTATGGATTCTCTGATGTCTAATTAGACTTGAATGCACCCTGAACTCTTTGCCATACACATTACATTTGTAAGGTTTCTCTCCTATATGGATTCTTTGATGTGTAGTTAGGGTAGAATATGCAGTAAAGTCTTTGCCACACTCATTACATTTGTAAGGTTTCTCATGACTATGAATTATCTGATGACTAGTTAGGGTTGCATGCACAATAAAGGCTTTGCCAACTCATTACATTTGTAAGGTTTTTCTCCAGTATGGATTCTCTTATGTATAGTTAGGCTTGAATGCAAAATAAACTCTTTGCCACACTCATTACATTTTTACGATCTCTTTCCTGTATGAATCAACTTATGGTACCTAAAGCTTGAATGCACCCTAATGGCTTTGCCACACTCATTACATTCGTAAGGTTTCTCTCCACTGTGAATAAACTGATGGTTAGTTAGCTTTGAACAAACCCTAAAGGCTTTAGCACACTCATTACATTTGTAAGGTTTCTCTCCAGTATGGATTCTCTTATGTTTAGTTAGGCTTGAAGGCAAAATAAACTCTTTGCCACATTCGTTACATTTGTAAGGTCTCTTTCCAGTATGAACCAGGTTCCAGTATGAATGCACCCTGAAGGCTTTGCAACACTCTAATGAGTGTAAGGTTTCTCTCTGCTATGAATAATCTGATGGTAAGTTAGTTTTGAATGCAACCTAAAGGCTTTCCAATACTCATTACATTTGTATGGTTTCTATCCAGTATGGATTCTCTGATGGCTAGTTAGGTCTGAATTGTACATTAAACTGTTTGCCAGACTCAGTACATTTGCAAGAATGTTTCCTGCTTGCTTTCATGTCTTTTGTCAGCACTGAAGGATGCCTAGAATCATTTTCATATATAATAGAACTGTTGGCTTGGATATAAGGAAAAACTCTTGGGAGTGGAGAAATGGAGAAAGTGTTGTTGAAAGACGTCTTGGCTGGATTACATTCATCAATTTCCCTGCAGAATGAAATATCTCCATATCAGCCTGATGTGACTGAAACCATAGTCCAAGACAGTTTTCAATAGGCTCATTTATGGCAGGCACTCTACCATGTTTACTTCTTCTATCAGTGAGATGTTTATTATGCATTATAGGCATTCCTTTGTGATTCCTTTTATCACCTCTTTGCTGATGAGCAAAATCATGCATATGTTTCCAGATTTCCCTGAAGTAAATATCTTTGATAACAAGGTTTTCACGTCTTCCAAACTTCACTGTTTGGAATACTCTACCTGTATTACTGGGTTTTGTTGGTTTTAATTTCTTGATCACATACAAAGGACAGATATCTATAAAAAAAAAACATTACGGAGTGATGTCAGAAAGATGGCAGAGTGAAAGACATCCCCAGATTTCTCCCCTTGAAACAATAATAAAGTGAACATCTAACACTCTACAAAAAAACCCGAACTGCACACCAGCACATCTGAGTGTGGGATCTGCATAAGAGCTACCATAGGTCAGAATCACAGAAGTAAGGCAGGAGAAACAAAGAAGCTGCCTCTCACAGCTAGAGCTCCCTACAGGAGGAGGGGGAAGAGAGAAGGTTCAGTGGGTTCCCGGAACAGAGCTGCCTGGGAGAGTTGTGAGCTCCACACTGCCCATGGCAGTGCCCTGGCATTAGGACAGAAAGCAGAGAAGTGGGGAGGGCAGAGAAGTGGGGACTGCAGAGATACAACAGTTGGTTATTACCAATCGCGGTAGCAAAACACCAGGCTGAGCCACAGCCCCTATCTCCCAAAACAGAGGGGCCCTCTCCCCATATCCTCCAACGCCGAAAACTGAAGAGCTCAAGGGGAATCCGAGCAAATACTACCGAACCTGTCACTAACACTGACAGGGACTTAGACTGAGGGTAGCAAGCATGATTGAATATCTATAAGAAAAAAAAAGGCATTATTAAGACTTTATATAAAGCAGGGATGCAAGACGCATAGACACCACCTACTGGAAACCAAAAGAAAAGCACCTTTTTTTTTTTGCAGCAGGCTAAAGAGAGACATTTATGTAATAAATCCTTTTTCTGGAAAAAAGCAAATTACACTTCCATTAATGCCCAGGCAAAGAAAAATCCATTAAACGCCATGAACAACCAAGGTGAAAAGGCATCTCAGAAAGAAAGAGAAAAATCTCCAGAAAATAAGCTTACAGACATAGGAATATGCATCTTAAATGACAGAGAATTCAGGATGGTACTTCTGAAAAAACTCAGTGAAATCTGCAACGAGTCATATCAACAATTTCAGGAACTGAAAAAACAACTAGATGAGCAGAATGAGTTCTTTATCAAGGAGATAGAAACCCTCAAAAAGAACAGAATAGATCTGTTGGAGATGAAGAACACACTGCAAGAGAGGAAAAATGAAATAGCAAGCTTGGGAAATAGAGTCGACCAAATGGAAGAAAGTATCAGTGATATCGAAGACAGAAATCTGGAAATAAATCAGAAGGAAAAAGAAACTGAAGAATGAAAAATAATGAAAGAGAAATCCAAGAACTAGCTGATACCATCAGAAAAGGAAACATAAGAATAATGAGCATTATCAAAGGCGAGGAAAAGGAGTAAGGATTAGAAAGCATTTTCAGACAAATAGTTGACAATAATTTTCCAAATCTAAGAAATGAGCTGGAGCTTGGAATTCAAGAAGTCAGCAGAACACCCAATTATCTCAACCAAAAAAAGGCCTTCACCAAGAGATATTGTACTAAAACTGTCAAAAATCAATGACAAAGACAGAATTCTCAGGGTAGCCAGAAAAAAAGACAGTAACCTATAAAGGAAAACCCATTAGATTATCATCGGACTTCTCAGCGCAAACCTTACAAGCCAGAAAGGAATGGAATCAAATATTTAAGCTATTAAGTGAAAGGAACTACCAGCAAAGAATAATGTATCCAGCTAAGCTCTCCTTTAGATATTAGGGAGAAATAAAGACCTTTCCAGACATTCAAAAATTGAGGGAATTCTCCACTACAAGGCCTGCATTACAGGAAATAGCTCACCTAAAACAAAATGACAAAAAGAATACGTAATTAGGAGTAAGGTGACTAGCAGGCTGATAGAAGCAGAGGAGTGAGATCCTTAATAAGAACAGGGCATTATAAGATTAAACAATTAAAAGAGATTTGCTGTAGCAAGATAGTAATAATGAACGTTCATCATATGTAGGGACAAAGTGAGATAATGACTGAAAAGGGGAGGATTCAATGATTCAGATTCGCAAAGGGGAATGGAGATAAGGCACACACAGAAGAAAATGGATGACTGTGTATATATATTCCTTTATATATTCGTAGTGGTAACCAGACGCCAAAGATTCAGAACTGATGTATATAATATAAAACAAGAATGACCAGAGGGGAAACCCACAAAAGCCAACCAAAATGAAGAAACAGAAACACAAGGACAAGGAAGGAATGGAAACAGCGAATTACCAGAAAACAAAAGGTAAAATGGCTCTAAGAAAACCTCATAGTTCCATAATCACTCTGAATGTAAATAGACTGAACTCCAATAAAAAGGCAGAGGTGCAGATTGGATCAAACACAAAGCTCAACCAAATGCTGCCTCCAGGAGACACATCTCAGTTCCAAAGACAAATATAGACTAAAAGTGAAAGGGTGGAAAATAATACTTCAAGCAAATGGCATTCAGAGGAAAGCAAGAGTAGTGGTACTAATATCAGATGAAATAGACTTCAAAATAAAAAAGGTAAAGAAAGATACTGAGGGACACTTCATAATGTTAAAGGGAAGAAGAAGACATAACACTTATTAATATCTATGCTCCCATACAGGAAGCCCCAAAACATGTAAAGCAATTACTAACAGAACTCAAGGGAGAAACAAACCAAAACACTATCGTAATAGGGGACCTAAATACCCAACTGTCAGATATAAACAGATCATCCAAACAGAAAATCAATAAGGAAATAGCGTCCTAAATGACACATTAGACCAACTGGACATAATTGACATTTACAGAGCCTTCCATACCAAAACAACTGCTTATACATTCTTCTCTAGTGCACATGGAACATTCTCAAGGCTTGACCACATACTGGGACACAGAGATAGCCTCAACAAATATAAGAGGGTTGAAATCATACCAGCCATGTTCTCTGACCGTAATGCTTTGAAACTAGAGATTAACTGCAAAAAGAAAGCAGGAAGGACCACAAATACATGGAGATTAAACTACATGCTACCGAAGAATAACTGGGTCAGAGAAGAAATAAAAAGAGAGATCAAGAGATACATAGAAACGAATGATAAGGATAGTATAACATATCAAAACTTTTGAGACATGGCAAAAGCGGTCATAAGAGGAAAGTTCATATCATTACAGGCCTATCTTCAAAAACAAGAATGAACCCAAATAAACAACCTAATACTTCATCTTAAAAAACTAAAAAAGGAAGAACAAATGAAGCCTTAAGTCAGCAGAAGGAAAGAAATCATCAAAATTAGAGCAGAAATAAATGAAATTGAAAACAAAACAAACAAACTAACAACAACAACAACAAAAAACAATAGAAAAAATAAATGCAACAAAGAGCTGGTTCTTTGAGAGGTTAACAAAATTGATAACCCCCTTGCTAGACTCATTAAAGAAAAAGGAGAAAGGACACAAATAAACAAAATCAGGGGTGAAACAGGGGAAATTATGACAGACACCACAGAAATAAAAAAGATCATACAAGAATACTATGGAAAAGTATATAATACCAAACTTAATAACCTGGAAGAAATGGACCAGTACTTGGAAAAATACAACCTTCCTAGACTGAATTGAGAAGAACTGGGAAATCTAAATAGACTGATCAGCAGTATAAAAATTGAAAAAATCATCAAAAACCTACCAAAAAGTAAAAGTCCAGGAACACACGGCTTTACCAGTGAATTCTACCAAACATTCAAAGTACGTTTAATACTTATTTCCTTCAAACTCTTCCAAAAAATCGAAGAGGAGGCAATACTCCCCAACTCATTTTTTTGAGGCCATTATTACCCTAATATCAAAACCTAATAAAGATAACACCAAAAAAGAAAACTACAGACCAATATCTCTCATGAACACAGATGCAAAAATCCTAAAATAGATACGAGCGAACCGAATACAGCAACATATTAAAATGATTATGCACCACGATCAAGTGGGCTTCATCTCAGTGGCACAGGGATGGTTCAACATATGCAAATCGATCAATGTGATATACCACATAAACAAATTAAAAAATAAGGATCATATGATTATATCAATAGATGCAGAAAAAGCCTTCAATAAGAGACAACATCCATTTATGATCAAAATTCTTAACAAAACACTTAATATAATAAAGGCCATTTATGACACTCAGCCAACATTATACTTAATGGTGAAAAACTAAAAACCTTCCCTCTAAGATCAGGAACAAGGTAAGACTGTCCATTACTGCCACCGTTATTCAACATAACAGTGGAGGTCCTAGCGAGTGCATCAGGTAAGAGAAAGATATAAGAGACATCCAAATAGGAAATGAAGAAGTCAAATTGTCACTATTTGCAGATTGACATGATTCTCTATATAGAAAATCCTAAAGACTCCACAAGAACCCTACTAGAAACAACAAGCAAATACAGTGAAGTCTCTGGATACAAAATCAATGTTCAAAAATCCACAGCGTTCCTATACTCTAATAATAAAGCATCAGAAAAAGAAGTAGAAAATACAATTCCTTTTGCAATTGCAACAAGAAGAATAAAATACCTAGGAATAAATCTAACTAAGCATGTGAAGGACCTATATAATGAAAACTATAAGACCCTATTAAAAGAAATTGAAGAAAATACAACAAAATGGAAAGATATTCTGTGTTCTTGGGTTGGAAGAATCAACATAGTTAAAATGACCATATTACCTAAAGAATTATACAGATTTAATGCAAGTCCCATCAAAATCCCATTGGCATTTTTTTTTAAAGAAATAGAACAAAAATCATCAGAATTGTATAGAAGTTCAAAAGGCCCCAAATTGCCAAAGCCATCCTGAGAAAAAAGAACAAGGCTGGAATCATCACTCTGCCTGACTTCAAATTATACTACAAAGTGACAGTCATCAAAACGGCATGGTATTGACAGAAAAACAGACACAGAGAACAGGGGAACAGAATCGAGAGGCCAGAAGTAAACTCATTTTTTAAATGGGCAAAAAATTTTTGACAAAAAGCACAAAAAATGAAG